ATATTTTTACAAAATTAAATATATATATATATATATATATAAAATGTTCTTGTAAAACACATACTGCAATATTTTTTGTTTTATTTACAACATCAATAAAATTGTTTTTACAATATCTACAGATACATATATAGATAGAAATAAAATAATTCTTCAAAGGTTTAAATAAAACTATTTCTCTGTATATTTAGTATTTCTGTGTTTATTTATATACTGTAAACAAAAACAGAATAAACAAAATAAACAAACTTTGAAAACAAAACAAAAATTTGTATATTTCAGAGATTTATATATATGCACACACACACACACACACACACACACACACACACACACACACACACTCGAACTCACATTTACATGTAGGATTTATTTGGAAATAATTTACACACTTAAATTGCTATTAAATTCCACAAGTTACAACAGCAAATAATGTGAAATTTTGGTAGAAAGCAGAAAGACTGAAATACAGTATAAAGAACCTCATATTTATTTTTTAAAAAAATAATTGTCTTCAAGGCTTTTTGCATCCAAGCGTTTATTTTGAACAGTAAACGCACAAAGGATTGCTGGAAGCGAGACACAGGCGGTGATGGAGAATCTGTGTTTCTGACGCTCTGAGGGCAGATGAAGAGTCGTCTCTGAGCTATTAGAGCCGTGAAGCCCTGGAGAACCTCAAGACCAAACCAGACTCTCGATCTCCAGCAGAAGCTCACGGAGACGTTCATCATTCGGCGCAGATTCAGATCGACAGCCGCTGAAAGATACAGAGCTGTCATTCAGAGTAACGTGTTATTTTATTTATTTGATCAGGCTGTGATGCTCCTTGTGCTTCTTCGACCTCTTTACCAAGCCATTTTAAAGGAATAATTCAACTCAAAATGCAAATTCTGAAATCATTTACTCATCTCATGCCATTTCAAACCCCTAAGCTGTTATTTTTCATCACTTCTGTCAAGCTCCAAAAATGGCAAAAAGGCACCATATTTGTCAATATTATGTTTATATATATATATATATATATATATATATATATATATATATATATATATATATATATATATATATATATATATATATATATATATATATATATATATATATATATATATATATATATATATATATATATGTCAATATTGTCATATTTTTATATTCATTATTTGCATTTCATTTATTAAAAAAAATATTCTTATTTTAACTTTTTGTTAAAAAATGGCTTGTGCGTTTCTGAAGTAGTGATATTTTGCATGACGAACAGAACAAGTGTTATTATCATTAATTTAAAAAAACATTTATATTAAACTATTAAAATAGATGTTAACTATGATAAAATATGAAAACCTGTCAGTTATGCTTTTATCAAATATTACTCACTTTTCTAGTTTTCATTTAGTTTAATTCGAAGTGATTTTGATCAAATTTAAAATAATGAAAAACAAAATTATATGGATAATAAAAACTAAATAGACATTTAAAACAAAAAACTAATAAAACTGATAACAATGCAGGATAAAATTACTAAAATAAAATAAACTAAACCTAAAAAATAACTAAATACAAAGTGAAATAAAAATAAATATACATTTAAAAATAACAAGTAGTAATAAAACCTAAAAAAATGTTTTTTCTAAAACTGAAAATGAAAGTGGACCACAGCTCTGAAATCTAAATTGAGAAAAGATTAAATAAATAAAATTACAAAAGTTCTGATGTCACTGGAGACAAACGCCATTGGTTGTCACATGACTGACCATAACATGTTTAAAATACAATTTTAGAGCTGCAGTGGAGAGTCACATGAACTAATGATAATTTTTTGGCGTATCTTAGCTGGTATTTTTATGAGTTTGCCAGAACAGCACACAGGTTTGGACAGGCGGGACGGTGAGTTTGATGTTGCTTTACCTACAGACGAGGAGCTTCCATCAGAGCGGCTTCATCTGCATCCAGCTGCGCGTGAATCATGCGCTC